TGTCAGCACAGGTTCGAGAGGCGGGTGGCGGTATTCAGTGGCGAGCGGGTGGCAAACGTGAGCAAAAGTTCGAGGGGGGGCGGAATTGATTGGGCACATCGCGAGCGCGATGCCCCTCTATACCTCTGTCCGCCCCCTCCTCCGCCTCCTCCTCGTTTGTCTCATTCTCATGCTGCGCCTCCTCCTCCTCGTTCTCGTGGAGCTCGTCATTCTCCTCCTCACCTCATCCTGCTGCTGCTGGTCCTCCTTCTTCGTCCTCCTACGTATTCCTCCGTCCTCCCCCTCATGCTGGTGGTTCTTTTCCTCGTCGTCCTCATCATCCAATTTCTCCTCCCTCCCCCCCTCCTCCCCCCCTTCTCTTCCTCGTCCTCTCCTGTACGTCTTCCTCCTATTCCTCCTCCTCCCCTCCTCCTCCTGTTTACTCTTCTTCTGCCTCTCCTGGTCTTTGCGGAATGCCTTTACCCTTGAGCCAACCAGTGCGGCAAATCTCTCTCTCTCTCTCTCTTTCTCTCCGTACTCCGCCCTGCCGTGCTGGGGCGACGACGTGGGGAAAACGCAGTCCACAGGCTGATCAAACCTACGTGCTGCATGCAAGTACCGATCAAGGGAAAAAGGAAACATCTTACAAAAGTCGTGCGGTGGCCAGGCCATGCAAAACATTTCCCACTCGCTCCTGGATACATGGCGCGCCCCGATTGGGCAACGGCCCTCAGTGGTAGAAGGTGGCGCGCTGGAGGCCGCAGTCAGGGGTAGAAGTTGGTCCCAGGGCAGCTCCTCTCGAGTTCGGCGTCGCCGTCTCCATAGCAGCCCGCAGCGCTCGTGTGCTCTCGCTGCGGTGGTGCTGCCTGCGGCCCCTCTGCCCGTCGGAGGGCGGCTGGCGCTGGCAGCGGCGCTTTTGTGTCGCTTTGGTAGCTCCCCCGCAGCGACGACGACGACGACGACGACGACGACGGCCGACGCTTCCCGCCCCCCGGAGTCGTCTGGCGTAAGCCTTGGTGGCGCCACCCGCAGCTGCCCCAAATCGAAAGTCGAGCGGCGCAGGGGTGTTTCGCTCCTCCTCTGCCTGAGCAGTCGCTCCCTGCAATATGTCATCCGTCAAGTCTGGGACGTCTTGAACAAGGTTAGAGGCCTCCCAGGTGGGGTCCGAGTAGATGGGCTCGGAGGATCTCGCCGCATCGCCGATACATCGGCGATGCATCGCTGATGCATCGGTGATGCATCGGCCATACACTGGCGACGTCGCCGATGCATCGGCGACGTCAGCGTGGAGAAAATTTGGCCCCACATCGAGCCGCATCGCTGATGCATCGGCGATGCGGCGAGATCCTCCGACCCCATCTACTCGGACCCCATCTAGGAGGCCTAGAAAGGTAGTCACCGCGTGAGGTGTCCAACCGAAGCCCTGTCTCCGAAACCAGTGTGACATCGCCTTTCGCCATGCAGGCCTCGTGCAGACGGTCACCGAACCGGACGTCCTGGAATACCTGCACCTCGAAACTGTCCCGGAGAGATGATTGAGGCATTTCGCGATGAAACAGTCGTGACCTGTATGACCCTCGATGGGGGGGGTAGGGTGCGCTGGTGTCGCAACACATGTAGTCGTAGGCGGCGTTCGTGGGTCGTGTTTGGCTCGTTTCCTTGTGTGCTCATAGATGGCGGCCACCCATGCAGGCACTCCTGCGTCTACGTCGGCCCGTAAGCGGACAGACCCAACCAGCCGTAGTACAGCAGCGCAGCTGTCCTTGTTCGGCTTCTCGGCCCAGGCGTCCGCCCAGAGCTGCTCTGCGAGGCGGTCTGCTTCCCACCATTGCTGAGCCTGGCACGCCATGGCCGCGCGGAGGTCGCACAAGACGACGGCCCTCTCCCCTCCAGGCGCGAGGCCCGCGCAACTGGCGCAGAAACTCGGCTGGCTGATGAGAGGAGGAGGAGGCGGCGGCGCGGTCCCAGCCGGCCGTGGCTCAGCGGCACAGCTGCCACGTGCGCCACTCAAAGGAGCAGACTGCATAGCGGGCGGGCTCGCCCTTCCCGCGCCCAGCTGGCCGCGATGCGCCGGCGCAGCCGTCGGCGGGGGGCCGGGCCGGGAACTGCTCGACCACGTCGCGCAGGATGCGCGGTTTATCGCGCCTGTCCAAGGTGGAACTGCCGCCACTCAGTGACATCAGAGCGACCCCGCTGCGGTTTTGCTTACGCCCCCATCCCGAACCCGTCAACAAAATGACAGCCATCAGACTCGAGGTGGCTGTCTCGCACTGCAGGCGCGACGGCGGGAAAATGCAGTCGCGCTCGACGTCCGCCGGCTCAGCGGCGACGGTCTCCACTCGCGGTTTCCAACGCGAGCGGCCCGGGCGCGACCGTATGGCTACAGAGGTCGAGAAACGTGTTGGCGCGGAGTTCCAGTGGAAATTCTGTTGGTGATCGGATCGACTAGGTTATCATCGTCATTGGGGACAGTGGTGTCAGTCCGAGTCCAATCCACGAGAGGACTAGATGGGGGGAACCTGCGGACTGCCTTTTTTTCCCTTGGGCCAACCCGCGCGGCAGCGCTGTCTCTCCCTGTCTCTCTCTCTCTCTCTCTCTTTCTTGTTGTTGCTTTATCTCTCTCTATCTCTTTCTTTATTTCTCTCTCTCTCTCTCTTTCCGCAGTATTTCCCCTGCTGCTTTTTCCCCTCCTGCTGCTCCTACTGCTCTTCCCCTAATTCCCCCTCATCCGTCAAGATTGATCTTTGGATCGACGAGGATGTTCTAGCGAATCCCGCTGCAGCGCCGAGAGTCCTCCCTTGAGACCCTGAGGCGGCGTGAATATACAAGATCGGGTGTCCTCCCTCCTCCCTTTTCGTCCTCCTCCCTGCGTGGACCTCCAACACAACGAGACATCAGTGCGCTGTTGTTTCGCCAGTTTGCGGCCTCGGGGAACAGCTTCTGGGGCCAAAATTGTCGACGCGGCATCTCCGCCCTCTGCGCCTGCTTTGCCTTCTCCTTCTCCTCCTCCTCCTCCTCCTTCTCCTCCTCCTCCCTCCTCCTCCTCCTCCTCCTCCTCCTCCTCCTCCTCCTCCTCCTCCTCCTCCTCCTCCTCCTCCTCCTCCTCCTCTCCTCCTCCTCCTCCTCCTCCTCCTCCTCCTCCTCTCTCTCCCTCCTCCCCTCCTCCTCCTCCTCCTCCTCCTCCTCCTCCTCCTCTCCTTTCTCCTCCTCCTCCTCCTCCTCCCTCCTCCTCCTCCTCCTCCTCCTCCTCCGTCTCCCCCTCCTCCGCCTCCTCCTCCTCCGCCTCCTCCTCCTTCTCCTCCTCCTCCTCCTCCTCCTCCTCCTCCTCCTCCTCCTCCTCCTCCTCCCCCTCCTCTCCTCTCCTCTCCTCCTCCCCTCCTCCTCCTCCTCCTCCTCCTCCTCCTCCCTCCTCCTCCTCCCTCCGCCCTCCTCCTCCTCTCCTCCCTCCTCCTCCTGCTCCTCCTCTCCTCCCTCCTTCCCTCCTGCTCCTCCTCCTCCCCCTCCTCCTCCTCCTCCTCCTCCTCCTCCTCCTCCTCCTCCTCCTCCTCCTCCTCTCCTCCTCCTCCTCTTCCTCCTCCTCCTCCTCCTCCTCCTCTCCTCCTCCTCCTCCTCCTCCTCCTCCCTCTCCTCCTCCTCTCCTCCTCCTCCTCCTCCTCCTCCTCCTCCTCCTCCCTCCTCCTCCCCCTCCTCCTCCTCCTCCCCTCCTCCCTCCTCCTCGCCTCCTCCTCCTCCTCCTCCCCCTCCTCCTCCTCCTCCTCCTCCTCCTCCTCCTCCTCCTCATCGCCCTCCCCTGCTGGCACGTTCGATGCGCATTGTGGACACAGGGTTCCTACGCAGTGTCGAGCAGACTGGGGGCCAAGGGCCAAGGCCCTGCCTACTTTGTCTTGGCTGGGCTGCACGGTGGCCCTCAGCCGCGGTCCGTTGATCGGCTCCTTCTTCCTGTTCGTCTTCTGATGCCACTGTTTTGGTAGTGCTCTTTGTAACTGCTACGTGATGTTATTATTCTTGTTCTAGTTTGATCATGATCGTCTGTCTTCTTAGTATGCTTCTTCTGGTATCAGTAGTGTTGCTTCTCCTTCGGCTGATGCTGTTGTTCTCCACCCATCAGGTTGGGGTTGCTAGATTTAAGCAGAACTGGTCCCGGCACGCCTGGTACACCCCGCGTACCGCGGCCGCCAGGTTCCAAGGTGCTCCAGCACAGCGGCCAAGCAGAAGAATCGGACGCTACAGCCGTTTGGTTTCCAGAAGGGCTCGACGATTTTTGCGGCAGGGCCCTGGGGCGCTGGAAGGGTCCGAAGTTTGTCGCTCAAGGTCCGGAGGCTCTCTGGGGAGGGTCCCAGCCCTCCTGGACCTCGCGCCCAGGATTGAAGGTCGCGGGCGATGTTTCTGCCCACATCCCCGACTGGAGGGTTTCTCCAAAGGACTTAGGCGACCCGTCCTCCTCCTCCTCCTCCTCCTCCTCCTCCTCCTCCTTCCCCTCCTTCTCCTCCTCCTCCTCCTCCTCCTCCTCTTCCTCCTCCTTCTCCTTCTCCTCCTCCTCTTCCTCCTCCTCCTCCTCCTCCTCCTCTCCTCGTCTCCCCCTCCTCCGCCTCCTCCTCCTCCTCCGCCTTCTCCTCCTCCTCCTCCTCCTCCTCCTCCTCCTCCTCCTCCTCCTCCTCCTCCTATTCCTCCTCCTCGTCCTCCTCTTCTTCCTCCTCCTCCTCCTCCTCCTCCTGTCGCCTACGGCCCCGGGGGAAACCGTGCATCCCCGAGTTTCGCCCGAAAAGTTTGGCCGCTCAGAAAAAGGGGAACACCTTGGGATACACCACAAAGGGGGCTATTCGGACGCACCCCTTATTGAGGATGGACACCCGCCCCGCCGCCTCCAGAGCACCCCCCACGAGGCCCGGAGGGCCCCAGAGGCCCGAACATGGGGCGAGCAGCTGGGGGCACCTTGGGCCAGGGGCGCTTCGAGCAGCGCCCGATTCTCCTCGCCGCCCCCCCCCCCGCCCCCCACCGCCTCGCCCTGCGCGCGCCCCCGCAGCCGCTGGGCCCAGCCCCGGCGGGCCCCGCGATCCGCACCTGCCCACCGTCCTTTCCATATTCTGCCTGGCGCGGCTGTCGCCAGATCCGCAATGGTCGGGCCGGACGAAAGGGGGGGATTGGGAAAGGGGGGGTTACGAAATCTGCTGCATGCAGCTGGTTTCGGCCCCACCGAGGGGCCCATTCCTCGATACATAGCCGCCTCCGGCGCCAGGAGGCGCCAGGAAAATCAGCTACGTGAGCTGATTTTCAAACGCCCCCCTTTGCTATCCCCCCTTTTCGCCCAGCCCGACATGGGCGGCCCCCTGGGCCGGTCTTGGAGGGAGTCGATGCACAGTGGAGACCCATGCCAATAAACACCCTGCTTGCCTCAAGGGCGCCCTGGGTCTCTCGGGTCTCGACGGTTATGCTATGGGAGGCGTGACGTCCCCACACCAAAACGAATATACGTCCTGGGGCCTCAGGGTTGGGTTTCTTGTAGAAGGTTTCTTGTGGTCGAGCCCCTACTGTACCCAGACATGCTGGCATCTTGGGCAACAAAGCGCACGGCGGGGAATCCCAGGCACCGTCGGAGAAACGGCTCCGATGAAGAGACGTTCCTCGGGGAAGGGGTCGGGACCTCTGGGGACCCCGCTGTGAGAACAGTAGGACAGCGGATGTCTCGGCAGAGACCTTGTCGTCTGGCTTGCCCAGGAGCCGAGGAGCTCGGCGAAGGAGTTCGGCGTGAAGGCGATCCAGCGTCCCACAGGCCAGGGAGCTGTGGCGTCTGCACACAGCTCCTCGGCCGACCAGACGACTTACCCGAGCGAGCTTCAAACAAGCGATGCGGGGTCCCCGAAATCTGGGCGTCGCAGGGTTTTTCCGCAGCGTGCATGGTTTCGCACCACGTTCGGGCCGCTGGGGTCCTCACGGATGGACCCAACAGGTTGTTCGCTGAAAAACGGGGTCGAGGGCTTTGGTTGGGATGCCGTTTTTGTTCGCGACGTCGATCCCAGGGTTCGGCGAATGTGTCAAGCTAAGCAAACATGGGGCGCTGGCCGAAACGTCGGCGCCAGGAGGCTTCTAAGGAGTCTTATTAGGTTCCCGGAGGGTTTCTAAGAAGCCAGCCGCCGTCTTAGAAGTCCACCCCCGCCTTCTTAGAAGGCAGCCCCCCCCGCGCTATCTACGTTGGGGACCCCGGATTTGCCTTTTCGTGGTCATGGTGCTCTCGGGATGGCTTTTGGCCGTTTTCCTGAGAGCAGTGCTTGACAGCTTGGGACAGAACGCGCGATATGCACCACCCCACGCCCCCTCACAGTGCTGGAACGTAGGCCGTGCACGTGGGGTGCGCTCGTTGCGGCAGTGCGATCGGCGCCTTGCGGGCGGGGGGGGGAGGGGTCGTTAACCCGGGAAGGTCTTTAATGCTGCACCCCATGCCCCCCCCTAAGCTCTCGGCTGGGAATAATCGTCCTCCCTCTCCTCCTCGCCCTCCCCTCCTCGCCCTCGTCGTCGTGGTCGTCGTCGCCCTCGTCTCCTCGCCCTTGTCGTCGTCGTCGCGATGGTCGTCGTCGCCGTCTTCACATGGGGCTCGTGCGCAGTAAGTGCTCGCCAGAGTTTACTGAGCTTGTTCGGTGTTAGCCGCGCGTGGAATGATTTGCGCACTATTGTTCGCTGTGTTGGATATTGTTAGGTGGTTATTCTTCGCATTGGGTAATGCTTCCTGGGCTACCCTGCACGACCGATGAGTGTTGAGCTTGCCTGTGCAAGGATTGCACGACCACGGCGGGGAGCTGCCGCCGCCGCCGCCGCCGCCGCCAGCACCGCCATGGGACACGGGAGCTGTTGGGAGAGAGAATTAAGTCGTTGTGAGACGTGGACCCATCGATTCTCGAAATCTGTGAGGTCGTCGAAAACGCTTTGTGGGGGCTGTGGTTCTTGATCACCAGTACTTGGTCCTCGAAAAAAATCAGCGAGAGGGGGTCTTCCTACCGCTGAGGCTGCCTTGCGCTGTGTTTGAGTGTGCGAAGCGTTTTTGCATACTCACTCGCAGAAGCGAGTGGACAGTGTGACTGCGCCAGCTGCGCTCTTCGAGGCGCGGATCCGCCTCCACTGCAGACGGCACAGAGCTCTGCAGAAGGCGTGGGCTGGCCACCCTTTAACCAGGGAGAGGGGTGATGGATAGTGGGCGGTGGGCGCCAAAAAATCACGACGAGAGGGGGTCTGAGCTCCGGAGTCAAAAATCGACCCCCAGACTTGTCCCGATTCACAGGCTGGCCAGAGTGTCGACGCGGATCCAGCGGTGGCGACCAGAAGGCTCCTGCAGGCTGAAAATGTTTCAAGTCGCGCAGAGTCTTTCGGCGGCAAATCATGGGGGCCTGGTGTGCCCTCTTGATTCCGTCTGTAGCGTCGATTAGCGTATGGAGTCGATGAGAAAGCGCCGAGTTAGCGCCTGCTAGCGTCGATTTAGCGTCGACTAGCGTCGATTCGCTAGAGCCGGCACGATGGTATGGGAGGCTCCCATGAGTTGCCACCGAAGAATCCTTGCTCCTCGATGCTCGACGCAAGGTCTTAGAGCTCTGGGCCCCCCCCAAAAAACCTCCGGGCCTCTGACAGCAACCGTCGGTCCCTCCCGGAAGGCCCACAGACCTGCCGGAAGCCATCGAAGCCTCCTGGGAACCCCGAGCGCTAAAACGCTACACTCTTGCTCGCTCGAGCGATCCCCTCCGAGAGCGCGAGGCGGGAGGCCCAGTGAGCACCGGGCCCCTTGGGGCCCTGCGGCCGCGGTTAAAAAGACCTCGCTCGTCGAATTTCAGGAGGGGGAAAAACACGCAGACATAATTGATGGTCGACTCCCAGGGAAACATAGGATAATATCGGAGACGAAAATTCAGAAAATACAGGACATACTGGCAATCCTGGTACCTGTGCCGCTGTCGAAGACGCGAGGCGGGATACCCAGGGAGCGCTGGGACCCTTGAGGCCTGGCTGCCACGGTATGCAGGGCGGGAGAGGCGGTTCGGGAGTTACCATCAGTCGAAAAAACCCTACAATCAGACCGAGGTATAAGATCGAGGTCGGTTCGGGGAGGGTGCCCTAGTGCTCTTCGTGTTTGTTGGATGCTCTTGTGCACCCTGGGGAGGGCACCCTTGGATGTTCTGCTTGTGTTAGCCGACGGAGGGTCTCGTGTTCTTGAGGGATGCTCTTCTGGCTTATCCGACTGCACCCGTCGGGCGGGGAAAAGCCCGCTATCCTCGAGCATCGCTCCTTCATCCTCGAGCCTTATTCCTCGAGCCTTGGTCCTCGATCCTTTGTCTTCGATCCTCGACGTTTCCCCTCCACCCGTTGTCCTTGATCCCTTATCCTCGATCCTCGACGTTTATCCTCGATCCTTCATCCCCGATCCTGTCTCCTCGATCCTCGGTCCCGACCCTCGGTCCTCGATGCTCGGGGGCCCTGGGGCCCCAGGCAGCAACCGCTCCGAGCGGTGGCGCCCGCGGCAGGGCCGGCGGGCCGGCGGAAGAGGGCCACCGCGCGCCGCGAGGCCGCGGGGGCCGCGCGGAGGGCGCGCGGGCGGCGCGAGGCCATGGGCTCCACGGCGGGGCCGCGGGGGGGGGGGGCTCCACAGGAGCGGCGCAAAGAAGCTGGGTCGTCTGCGCCGACACGGGCGCGTAGGTTACCCGCGCAAGGTCGCGCGAAAGCGGCGTGGCTTTCAATGCAGCGTGCCGCGCTGGCGGCCCGCGTGGGCCGCCGCGTGAGGTCGCCGTGTCATCTGGCGTAAGACCCGCTTTCGATCGTCGCCCACTTTGGAGAAACCCCCTTCCTTTCCTACCCTTTGCTGTGACGCTGCCCCTTTCGGCTCGCAGGTATAGGTCTATGCACACTGACCGATGGACTTGTGGAGAAAGATGCAACCTTCATCGTCGTCCTTCATTCATCGTTACCGCCTGCACCGACGCATACTCGGGAGGGGATTGGCCCTTCGGTCAACCTTTCCCTCACAGGCCTCCTGGGAGGCCCTCGTCGCCACAGCTGGATTCGCCTCGGGATTCTGGTCAGAACGCAGCCAGAGAGAGGTCTGGGGAGTAGCGGTATCCGTATCGTCGGATTTCCCCACCCTTGTCTAGGCCTCACAGATGGGATCGGAGTAGATGGGGTCGAAGGATCGCGCCGCATCGCCGGTGCATTGGGGATGCAGCGCTATGTGGAGACCCATTTTCTCCACGCTGGCGATGCATTGGCGATGCGGCGCGGTCCTCCGACCCAATGTATTCGGACCCCATCTACGAGGCTGGCGTAGCAGTTTTTCCACCACGGGCGTTTTAGCCTTGTTTCGGGCCCCGGGCCCCCCCCACTGACCGGTCCCGTTTGACAAATGACTCAGACACATGGAGTCCGCGGTTCCAGTCGCGATTGATTGCGAGGTTGCAGTTTTTTGGCAGCATCAGATCGGGTGGACTTCGCCACCTGCCTCCTCTGGTTCTCCCCGGGCTGGCGTCCGAGTTGATGTAGGGCATCGCGGAGGAGCCCGACCCCCGCCCCCCCCCCCGCGCTCCCTGATCCTCGCTCCCCCTCGCGCGCAGACGGTGCACGATATAAGGTCCACCTCCACGTGGGCGACGGAAAAAAAAACACGGTGCCGATTGCGCGGACGTTCGCGCGCAAGTTTCCGCGTGAGATCGCACGTTTTCGACCTCTTTCCAGGCGGTGTGCCACGGTGGCGGCCCGCGTGAGCCACCGCGGATGGTCGCCGTGTCCTCGTGCGTATAACCAGTTTAGTTTCGTCGCTCAGGGCCAATTGCGCGGACATTCGCGCGTAAGTTTCCCGCGTGAGGTCGTGCGTGGACGCCGTCTTCTCCACGCGGTATGCCGCGCTGGTGGCCCGCGCAAGCCGCGGCGTAAGGTCGTTGTGTCATTTCGTGTAAGACCCGTTCCTTTTCGTCGGTCACATGTGGCCTAGCGCCAGCCGCTAGGAAGACGTCACGAACGCGGGGCAGGACAGAAACGAGAGGCAGGGATCAGCGTGGGGAGGGGCTCTAGGGAGCGGGGGGGAGAGGAGCATCGGAGATAGCAAGTCCCCTCCCCGTCCTCACCCTTCTACTCCTCGATCCGCCATCCTCCTCGTCCTCTCCCCCTCTGGCTGCTTCCTCGTCCCTCCTCTCTCGTCCCCATCCCTCATCCCCCCCCGTCCCCCCCCCCCTCCCTCGTCCCTCCTCCTTCTGCTCCTCCTTCGACCCCCCCTCACTCGTCCCTTTTTCCCTTCCTCCTTTCCCCCTCTGCCACCCCGTCTTCACCTCGCCTCTTCTCCCTCGCCCCGACCACAAAACGAACGACACCACTCCAACTACGGCCCTCCATGTTGCGCTACGGCCCATCGGGGGCCGTAGCGTATGCCATGCAAAACCCCACGCCATGTTTTCTTGGTATACGCTGAGCCCCATGGGGCCGTTGGTGGGGTGGTGTCGTTTGTTTTCTGGTCCCTCACCCCTCTTGCCCAATCACCCGCCTCCTCCCTCTGATTCTCTGCTGTCTCCTCCCTCCCCCCTTGTCCCCAGCGCGCGCGCTTCGCGCCCCTGACAGGGCCCCACGGCGGCCCCCGGAGAGGCCGAGTTCGGGGAGAAATTCCTTCCAGGCTCAAAAGCACAACCCGCCAGAGAGGTGGATGCCCTTCATGATCCGGCGTCTTGACAACTATCCCGGCAAAGCAACCTAACAGCGATGTGTAGGAGCATATCTGGAAGCATTCCCCTGAAGATTCAGATGAGAATCCTGTTGTAGAATTCTGCTGTTCTCGCAGTCGTAGTCGCATTCGCGATGGCAGTCGCAGTGGCAACGGCAGTCGCAGTCACAGCCTCAGCCTCAGCCTGCCTCAGCCTCAGCCTCAGCCTGCCTCAGCCTCAGCCTGCCTCAGCCTCAGCCTCAGCCTGCTTCAGCCTCAGCCTCAGTCTGCCTTCAGCCTCGGCCTCAGCCTCAGCCTGCCTCAGCCTCAGCCTCAGCATCAGCCTCAGCCTCAGCCTCAGCCCTCAGCCTCAGCCTCAGCCTCAGCCTCAGCCTCAGCCTGCCTCAGCCTCAGCCCTCAGCCTCAGCCTCAGCCTGCCTCAGCCTCAGCCTGCCTCAGCCTCAGCCTCAGCCTGCTTCAGCCTCAGCCTCAGTCTGCCTTCAGCCTCGGCCTCAGCCTCAGCCTGCCTCAGCCTCAGCCTGCATCAGCCTCAGCCTCAGCCTCAGCCTGCCTCAGCATCAGCCTGCCTCAGCCTCAGCCTCAGCCTGCCTCAGCCTCAGCCTCAGCCTGCTTCAGCCTCAGCCTCAGTCTGCCTTCAGCCTCGGCCTCAGCCTCAACCTGCCCCAGCCTCAGCCTGCATCAGCCTCAGCCTCAGCCTCAGCATGCCTCAGCCTCAGCCTCAGCCTGCCTGCCTCAGCCTCAGCCTCAGCCTGCTTCAGCCTCAGCCTCAGTCTGCCTTCAGCCTCGGCCTCAGCCTCAGCCTGCCTCAGCCTCAGCCTGCATCAGCCTCAGCCTCAGCCTCAGCCTGCCTCAGCATCAGCCTGCCTCAGCCTCAGCCTCAGCCTGCCCTCAGCCTCAGCCTCAGCCTGCTTCAGCCTCAGCCTCAGTCTGCCTTCAGCCTCGGCCTCAGCCTCAGCCTGCCTCAGCCTCAGCCTGCATCAGCCTCAGCCTCAGCCTCAGCCTGCCTCAGCATCAGCCTGCCTCAGCCTGCCTCAGCCTGCCTCTGCCTCAGCCTCAGCATGCTTCTGCCTCAGCCTCAATCTGCCTTCAGCCTCGGCCTCAGCCTCAGCCTGCCTCAGCCTCAGCCTGCATCAGCTCAGCCTCAGCCTCAGCCTGCCTCAGCATCAGCCTGCCTCAGCCTCCGCCTCAGCCTGCCTCAGCCTCAGCCTCAGCCTCAGCCTGCTTCAGCCTCAGCCTCAGTCTGCCTTCAGCCTCGGCCTCATCCTCAGCGTGCCTCAGCCTCAGCCTGCATCAGCCTCAGCCTCAGCCTCAGCCTGCCTCAGCATCAGCCTGCCTCAGCCTCAGCCTCAGCCTGCCTCAGCCTCAGCCTCAGCCTGCTTCAGCCTCAGCCTCAGCCTTCAGCCTCGGCCTCAGCCTGCCTGCCTCAGCCTCAGGCTGCATCAGCCTCAGCCTCAGCCTCAGCCTGCCTCCTCAGCCTCAGCCTCAGCCTCTTTAGCCTCGGCCTCAGCCCACGCCGCTCAAGGCTCAGGCCTGCTCAGCCTCACCCTGTATCAGCCTCAGCCTAGCCTGCTTCATCAGCTCAGCCTCAGCCCCTCCTGCGTCCCCTCAGCCTCAGCCTGCTTCAGCCTAGCCTAGCCTCAGTCTGCCTTCAGCCTCAGCCTCAGCCTCAGCCTGCCGCCTCATCATTCAAAATGTGGCCCGGGACTGGAGTTCTGGAACTCGAGAACACGAAGTGGCCTACAGTTGGCTCCGGGCATTCAAAATCATGCCCAGGAATGGAGTTCTGGGAACTCGAAGAACACGAAGTGGCCTACAGTTGGCTCCGGGCATTCAAAATGTGGCCAGGAATGGAGTTCTGGGAACTCGAAGAGCACGAAGTGGCCTACAGTTGGCTCCGGGCATTCAGAATGTGGCCCGGGAATGGAGTTCTGGGACCTCGAAGACCGCGAAGTGTATAACTGTTTGCTAAAAAAAAATCCTCGGCACCCTCCCCCGGATCGCGCCCAGACCCCCCTGGGGCGTCATGATGCTCTCTTTTGACCCTACTAGAAACCTATCAGTCTTCGCTGTTAGGAAACAAAAAAAACATCGCGACTACATCGCGACCGGAGCCCTAAACCCAAGCTTCTGCTGCCTGTCTTGGGCCGGATCGACCCATGGGGGTCCCAGGGTTCGAAGTTCAGCGACAGATGCCCAGTGTGGAAACGTTGCGGCGGCCCGGTTCCGGGGGGCCTTCCTCAGCAGAGACTGCGGGGACCACCGCCACCGAGGACTCCTCGGGGGGCGGAGGGCCGATCCCTAGGCGGTGGCACGCCCGAGCGTTACCCAGGGCAGGACGACGCCCCAGCCTGCCACCGCCCAGGGGCAGGCCCCCTCCATTGGGTGCTCGGTGCCGGCGGCCGCTTCTTATCTTCGGGCCTCCCCTCCTCCCCTGTGCTATACTGCCTCTCCGCCGGCCCGCCCGCGCCTTCCTTCACCCAGGCATCCTTAGACATGTCGCCGCGCCCTCTGTTCCGACGCGTGGCCCCACGCCCAGGGGAGGGCGCCGCCGGCACCAGGCCAAACTTGCGCCTCCATCGCAGGGCTTGCCGTGGGTTTGCCGCGGCGCCGGCGTCGTCTGGTTGGGCGCGGGGCGCAGTGTCTGCCGCGGGCTTGCCGTGGTGGCAGCATCGTCCACTTGGGCGCGTCGACAACAAAGGGCGCGGCGACAAAGTATGTTTTTTCTTTGATCTGCGGCCCCAGAGTCCCCCCCCCCTGGGAGTAGTTAAGGATCCCGAATCTGTTTGTCTGGTGGCCCTGGGGCCCGACAACGGGTCCAGGAGGCCGAACTCGAGGGCAAATGCCCGGATGGGAAAACTCACATCCTCGAACTCACATCTTCGGAGATCTGGGGAGGCAGGAAGATACCGATGCTGCTACTCCTTCCTCCCAGGGTGCGTTCTGACCGGAATTTTGAAGCGGATCCAGCCGTGGCAACGAAGGCATCCCCGGAGGCCCCCCGAAGGCGAGCACCAGGGAAGGGTAGCGGTAATTATCGGTATACCTTCTCCTCGGGGACCTGAGCTTTCGTCCCACCCGAGCCAGGCGCCTCTGGGGATCCCCGATCCTCGATCCTCGATCCCCGATCCCCGGTCCCCGATCCTTTCGTTTCCCAACCCCCGATCCCCGATCATCGATCCTCGATGCCCGAGATCCTCGATCCTCGATTCCTGATCCTTCCGATCCCTGACCCTCGATCCCCGATCCTTTCGATCCCCGACCCTTTCGACCCTTTCGATCCTCGATCCGTTCGATCCTCGAACCGTTCGATCTCCGCTCCGCTCGATGCCCCGGCCCGTTGGCCGGTGGGCTGGCCGGTGGACCTGGCGCCGCAGCATTCCTCCGCTCCACGGGGGGCGCGTGGGGGGCTTGGCATCGCTCGGACGTGTGCATGTTTTCTCGGCGAGGGCCATCGAGGAGCGTCCTTGACCATCGAGCCAAAAAAGCACGCACGAAGCCGAAAAATGCACGGGGCCCCGCAGGGCGGCCCCCTTCGGGCCCAGAAGGGGGCCTTGAGGGCCCGAAGAGGGCACCTCGGGAAGGGGGGGCCTTTGGGGCCCGAGAAGGGCACCCCTTTCTCCCCCCCCTCCCCCATGTAATCGTCGCCCGCCCCTCCTCCTCCCCCTCCTCGTTCTCCTCCTCCTCCTCCTCCTCCTCCTCCTCCTCCTCGTTCTCCTCCTCCTCCTCCTCCTCCTCCTCCTCCTCCTCCTCCTCCTCCTCCTCCTCGTGCGCATGGAGGTGCGCGTCCGCTACGCTAGACACAATTTGGGGGGCCGCTGTATCGGTGATTGGAGGCCGCCGCTCAGGAGTCTCTGAGCCTCCCCGTTCTCAGCAGCGGCACGCGGTGTGCACCGTGCTGGGCACGCAGGCAGGCCATTTGTGCAATATTATCACGAGCATGCGTCCGCCGCACCAGCTTCGAATCCTCCCCTTACTTCATCGCACCTCCGTCTTGCCCAACAGCGGGCGCGCGGTGCCGTGCGCGCTGCGCCCGCACTGGATGCAGGGAGTGTTTCAGCGCTCACTTGCTGGCTTCGCCTACCCTGACCAGTTGCAACTGCTAATCGGCCGGCGCCTGCGCATATGGATTTCTTGTCCGGCTCGCTTCTGGCTCAGGGAGCGGTGGGACATGGTGCGGGACATCCTGAGCAGGGCTCCACTCATGGTGCGATGGCCGTACATCAAAACGATTGCGGGTGGATGGGCGACCACTCACCGCATGCACGTCACGGATAGTAAGTGGAGTTGCATCTTCGGGTGCCCTCAGCCCGATAGCATCACACATTATTTGAAGTGCCCCCGCCTCATTCATCTCGTTTGTCGTCCTCGAGCTGTCGTCTCGTCGTGTCCCCTCCTCCGTCTCGGGCTTGGTTTACCTGTGCAATATCCCGCGTTTGACCTCACCCGGGGAAATTCCATTTTGGCTACTGCCCTCAGTTCCGGTATATACCACGTAGCCAAGGAGATGGCCTCTCATCAAGACGGGCGTCTTTGAATTCTGCCCCAGCAGCTAGATGCCTTCAAAGCGGCATTAGCCAAGATGTCCAACAGGTACTCTATTATTTCGCCTCCGCATGGATCGGCTAGGGCGCACCCCTGGCTGAAACCCACGAGGCGTTGAGTGTCCTGAGACCCGTGGACTCTTGAGGCACTGGCGCTGCTCCTCCTCCTCCTCCTCCTCCTCCTCCTTTTCCTGCTCCTTTTCCTCCTCAACCTCCTCCCCATTGCTTCGCGCCCGACGCCCTCCGCGCGCTGCGCCTCCTCGCGCTGGCGGCCCGGGGAGCAGGGCCTCTGCGCGCTCGTGCTGGGCAGCTGGCTGGCCAGCGGCGTGGGCGTGCAGCAGCAGAGGAGGCCGCAGGGGGAGGGGAAGCCTCGTCTCCTCGAGGAGGGAAGGAGGAAGAGGAGGAGGAGGAGGAGGAGGAGGAGGAGGAGGAGGAAGAGGAGAAGGAGGAGGAGCAGGAGGAGCAGAAGGAGGGGAGGACGAGGGTTGGACGAGGACGAGGAGGAGTAGGAGGAGGAAGAGGAGGAGGAGGAGGAGGAGGGGGAGAAGGAGGAGCAGGAGGAAGGGAGGACGAGGGGAGGACGAGGACGAGGAGGAGTAGGAGGAGGAAGAGGAGGAGGAAAGGAGGAGGACGAGAACAAGGATGATGAGAGGAGGAGGAGGAGGAGGAGGAGGAGGAGGAGGAGGAGGAGGAGGAGGAGGAGGAAGAGGAATAGTAGGAGGAGGGTGAGGACGAGGACGAGGAGGAGGGGGAGGATAAGTAGGAGGATGATGAGGAGGATGAGGAGGAGGTCAAGGAGCGGAGGGAGGAGGAGGAGCAGGAGGGAGGAACCTCCGACTGCTCGTGGAAGGCCCGTTTCCTCGACGCCCGTCTTATTGAGGAGGAGTAGGAGGAGGAGGACGCAACGCACGCTTCCGCGAGGGCAGCCGAGGAGCTCCGGAGCAGTCGCTGGCTGCCCGAGGGGTTCGTTGGACAGTTGGACACGGCTGGTTTCACTAGACCCGAGCCCTCCCCCCCCCCCGCTCGACCTGAGGCGATCTGAGGCGTCCCCGAGCAGCCGTCGAACGCACCCCTCTTTTGACCAGACTGTCTCGCCGTTCCCGATCCAGGGCGGGGCCCGGGGCATGCTCGCGCCTCGGAGAGCTCAGGACTCGGGTTCTCCTCGGCTCTCGGCCCCCTCTGGGGGCCCTTGCCGGGCGCGGGGTCCGCCCCCCTTCGTCTACGGTGCTCCTCCCCCTCATCCCTCTCCTCCCGCAGCCGCCTCGTTCTCCATCTTGCTGGCGTCCCTCTTGTCTCCCTCCTTCTCGATGCCCCCCATCCTCCCACTTCGTCTTTTCGCCTTCGCTGCTATTCTTCTCGTCGTCGTCGGCGGCGGCCGCGGTGGCGGTGGCGTCGTCGTCGTCGTCGTCGTCGTCGTCGTCGTCGTCGTCGTCGACGTCGACGTGGACGTCGGCGTCGACGTCGTCGTCGTCGTCATCGTAGTCGTCGTCGTCAAGGCCACGGACCGCTCAGGCCCACCCAGGCGCAGTGGCCTCCGCCTCATGTTTTGCCTCTCCCCAGACGGCTGCTTCGCCCCAGGAGATGGCATAACACATGGCGGTGCGGCTACGGGTGCTCCTGGTGCTGAGTCTCGGCGTGGCTCGCCCCGTGCCGCTCAGCACCGATGCCGACCCCGAGGGCTTCGTCCAGAATCCATTGCGCAGCACATCGGTCGTTGGATGGAACCCGTTCAGCATGATCAGCCACGAAGGACGCCTGGAGACCATCAGCACGGAGTCCCGCAACATGGATGCAGTTCTAGCCCCAGGCAACAAGATCAGAAGCCGAGCAGGTACACCACAGCATTGTGAACGTGCAGCCGTTCATAACTGGATACATTTCGGCTGGACACGAACAGCGGGCACCAACACCAGCGCTGGATACAGCATTGGACTGCCACGTAAGGTTTATCGAGAGAAGAACATCAGCCGCGTGGTGACCGCACCTCACCATATTCAAAGCCGAGCTGGAAGTGTGGACGTGCACCGTGGCCCACATCGTGTTATATATATATATATATATATATATATATATATATGTATCAATATCGTCGCATGCTTCCCACCACGCCCACACCTCGGTCGGGATCATCCTTTCTGGAAGAAGACATGTATACAGCTCTGGAGATGGATACTACATAAGTTCAATAGTACGCCCGAGCGGATGGCCCCGACTATGTTTAGTGACGTGAGTTTACGTTTTGGCCAACACGGAAAAACGCACGCACCGATTCCAGCATCGGCCGTTACCAGACAGGACCCGAAGATGACTTGGTCCAGCAAATCCACCGTGAGGTGAACACCAACGAGCTCAGCGCAACCAACAGCTACTGGAACCTGGGTCCCAGCTATGACGGCAATCACAGCTCCAACAGTCGCATTGACTATTTGATCGCCCCTACCAGCTTGAAGTATGCGGTCTCCAATATGGTCATGGCCTGGCACGCCTCTAAGCGCTTACGCTCGCTGCCCGTCATCGACCACGTGCCCATGACCATGGAAGTGCGCATCTCGGCCCCAGATGAAGACAGGGATCCAGATCAACCACGGTGGGGCTGGGGCCTACTTGCCGCTTTTTTGCAACAGGAACATCAGCGATGTGCTTTCTTTCTGGAACTGCATGACCAGCACACGCAACATCGTGCGCGACTCACGCGACTCACTGCCGACGCCAGCCCGATCCGACATGCAGCAGCTGCCGGCTACATCACCATGAGCACAGCCAAGAAGTTCTTCACGCGTGAGGGCACGATTCCGACATGGGCCACCGACGCCGAGGCCGAACGGTCTCATCTTCTACAACAAGGCGCCACTCTACGCTTAGCTGGACACGCCCTACACCACTAAGCCCTTCGACGAGTCGACGAGTCTCACATCAGCTGAAGTCCTAGCCTCGCTGGTACAACTTCTGGTTGCGTACCTCTGTAGACGATCAACCACGAGAAGCGTAGGCACTGCAAGATCTTGCCCGCGTTGGTTACCTCACCCGTATCCGCGCAGGCACCCGCGCAGACATCATGAAGCGCAGCTGCCTCTCGGTCGCCGCCATGCGACCACGCGGACAGGCCTCCCTCACAGCGCTCGCCAAACCAGCCACTGAGGGCGGCGTGAGCGCGAGCCCGCGCCCCACGAGCCCCTACTTGCAGGGCGCCTTCATCGAACGATTGCTGAGTGCACCAGTGGATGACATTGCCCAGCACGGCCCTGCGCGGCACGGCGCGACGCAGACTGACCTCGACGCAGCAGCGGATGACCTCGGCTACATGAAGGATCGCATCTGGAGGAACAAACATCGGCGATTCAACCCAGGCTGGCCATGACCTGGAGAGACCACGAACATCCTCTTCTACCCGTTCTACCTCACGAAGCCCAAACACTAGCCCGCTGGCCTGGGCCACGACGGCCACCATTATCTTCGCGCCCAACCACTCGCCCAACGTGAAACAAAACAACCCGACGCCCCCGCTGGCAAACAAAAAAAAAACATTCGAATAAGCCCACCTCGGCCACATCCTTTTTCACGTCGCTCCTGACTCACGCGCTCGCCACGCGCGCGTTGCCATCGCGCGCTGCCGCGAGCCTGGTCGTCACAATTGGAAAGAAGAACAAGGGGCCCAGTGGCGACGAGATCCACGACGCCAAACATTGCCTCCGACTCCTGCGTTGCCTCTGCCACTGGCGGCGGATATACCTACGAGTGGGCTTCTGCGATTACGGATGACCCTTTCTAGCCCCAGCATGGGGCCGCGGCGGCGTCCGACAACGACGGCGAGAAGAATTCATGTTCCCCGTCAAGGTCGCGGCGTGGGGCCTGCGCGCTGCTGAGCGACACTCCCTCGTCGAGTCTTACGACGCGCGCATTGCGTTCGCGACAGGCGACAGCGACATCCTTTTCCAGGCCCAATACGACCGCGCCGACGACGACCATTTCGGCGAACTTCTCGCCCAACATCGCCGACGGGCAGTCCTGCCCGTCGACGCCGGCGACTCCCGCGTCTCAGCCCGACCAGCCTCGGGAGGCCGCATGGGCGACGGCAACGAACCCGAGCTTTCCATGGCGGCCCTCCACAGAGGAGTGGAAGCCTGACTGGGGGAGACCACGGAACTCACTATCGACGATCTCACGGCAGAGCGCCCCATCACCAACACCAAGCAGCAGATTTCCATGGGCGCATTCATCGACGACCTGATACGAGTCCATGCGCTACCGAGGTCATCACCGGAGATGGTTCCGCTGGGCCGGAGGGGGAGCGGAAACCGGAACCGGAAACCGGAAACCGGAAAACGGAAACCGGAAAACGGAAAACAGCGAAGAAGGAAGCGGAGGCCGACGGCAGACGACAAGAATCGGAAAACGGAAAAGGGAAAACGGAAAACGGAGAAGAAAGACGCGGGGGGTGACGGGAGAGCACCGGAACCGGAAAACGGAAAACGGAAAGCGGAAACCGGAACCGGAAAACGGAAACGGGAAACCGGAAAGGGGAAAACGGAAAACAGCGAAGAGGGAAGCGGAGGCCGACGGGAGACCACCGGAATCGGAAAACGGAAAACGGAAAAAGGAAAACGGCGCAGAAAGACGCGAGGGACCACGGGAAAGCACCGGAACGGGAAAACGGGAAACGGAAAACGGAGACCGGAACCGGAAACCGGAAAACGGAAAGCAGAAACCGGAAAACAGCGAAGAGGGAGCCGGGAGCCGACGGCAGACCACCGGAATCGGAAAACGGAAAACGGAAAACGGAAAATGGCGTAGAAGGACGCGGGTGCCCACGGGAGAGCACCGAACCGGAAAACGGAAAACGGAAACCGGAAACCGGAACCGGAAAACGGAAACCGGAAAACGCAAAGCGGAAAATGGAAAACGGAAAACGGAAACCGGAAACCGTAAAACGGAAACCGGAAAACGGAAAGCGGAAAACGGAAAACGGAAAACGGAAAGCGGAAACCGGAAAACGGAAACCGGAAAACGAAAATCGGAGGAGGAGGAGGAGGAGGAAAGGAGGAGGAGGAGGAGAAAGAGGAAGAGGAGGAGGAGCCTCCCTTCCTCCTCTCTCCCTCTTGCCCCCCCCCCGCCCCTCCTCCCTCCCCGTTCCCTTTGCCAGGCTTCCTCCCTCCCTCCCTCCTGCCTCCCCCCTCGTTGATCCTGCCCTCACCTCCCTGTCTCCCTCCTCGTTCCCTCCTCCTCCTCCTCGTCCCTCTTCCCGAGCGGAGCCGGCGCGCGGGCTGGCCAGACCGAAGGACAACGACGATCTGATTTCAAGAAGCCCCCAAAACGTTCCAAGACTGCTCCAAGAGGCTTCCGAGACCTCCA